CAACATAACAAGCTATTCGCTTTATTGTGCTGTTAGTGTAATTAAAGGAGGAAACACAATTACTGTACTTAGGAAACATGCTGAGTTTTTCACATAAAAATGTGAAATCATAGCTTTGCTTTAGCTCACTCACATAAACGTATTTTCTTACACTATCAGTGGACGGAAAGCCATTAAGAAAGCTAAGTGTGCAGGATTTCGTTCTTCATTTCTATTCAGCCGTCCCAGTAGTTTTGATTTTCCAAGCTGGCTAACTCTCCAATGATAGGGCTAGCTTTAGCTTTTCTGGCCACAGGTTAGGCCGACTCTCCAGTAATAAAGCTAGCTGGCTAGCTGTCATGTACTGAGCTGGGCTAGCTCTCCAGTGATAGGGCTAGTTGTTACAGCCTGAGCTGGGCTAGCTCTTCAGTGGGAGGGCTAGCTGTCCAGTTGCAGGGCTGGCTCTCCAGTGATAGGGCTAGATATCAAGTGGTAGGCCTGTCTTTCATGGCCTGAACTAGGCTAACTCTCCAATGATAGGGCTAGCTGTCCAGTGGCAGGGCTAGCTCTCCTGTGATAGGGCTAGATGTCCAGTGGTAGGCCTAGCTTTCATGGCCTTAACTAGGCTAACTCTCCAGTGATAGGGCTTACTATCCAGTGGTAGGGCAAGCTGTGCAGTGGCAGGGCAAGCTATGCAGTAGCAGGGCTAGCTCTCCTCTTACAGGGCTAGCTATGTAATGGTAGCTGTTATGGCCTGTGTTGCGCAAGCTCTCCAGTAGTACAGCTAGCCGTCCTTTTCTGCAGCATCCTCCCTTCAGTCCTCAGCTACAGTCTGGGAGGTGGCGCTGGGTGCCCCTGATGGGCTCTCACCCAGCTGGAGGAGTCAGGCTGGGGCCCCGCCTTCCCTGCAGGAGCCACACTACACCACGCGTCTGATCAGATGTTATGGAGTCAGCAAGCGGAGGTGTGGACCTGACAGTCACCCTTCCGCAGCGTCTCCCGATGACCTCCTCACATACCTGCAGTCCATTTAAGATTCACGGCACACAGCACTTTCTGTCACTCAGTCAATACAGCCGACAGATGAGTGCTGAGGTGTTACTAGAGCATGTGAGGGCCCCTTCCCTCCTTTCTGCCTCTGCTTCTTAACCTAACAAATGTCCCCATATTAATACTCCACGCACACATCTCTCCTGCCACAGCTATACAATGGGCTGTGTATGTGCTTTAGATATTTACTGCAGTGACAAGTGTCAATTGCAAAGGCTGAGCAAGACAAATCAGAAACTGAAGGCAGGGGCGTTATGACCCTTTCCCAGAGCCAATCAGCTGTGAGCAAATGTTAACCCTTGAAAGCCTTGCTGTTTCAAAAGACGGCAATCATTGACCTCCTGATCGCCTAAAAGTTAATGTTCATTTTGAGCCATTTCTCCATTCAGATAAGACAGTGAAAATGGTTGGTATGGTTCACCAGTTCAAGGAAGACTAATGAAGGAGAAGATATTTGCATTATTCATTTGTTCCACCTGCTGGAAATAGCTTTTTGCACTGCTTGGCTCATTCATCTGGTTGTTTTTACTGAAATAATTTAGGTTGAGAGTTAAAGCAGCAGTTTGCTTGCTTCAGGTCAAGTAGACGTAATATTTTGTCTACTTAAATTTTGCATATTGTGGACTGGGGATCCAAAATGCACCTTGAGTACGTGCAAATTCAGAGCATACATATCCATATCAGAAATCTAGCATCCGGCCTTTAGCTTTCCATACTTATGACAAAGGTGGAGTTTTGAACACATGGAATGAAGACATGGTAAGTCAAAGGAGAGAGGCTATAGGACAATTTAGAGCATCTGTCAGAGCCATATATGGTTTCAGAAGCAATTACCAGAGGTGGAAAATTCAGGTTCAGAAAGTACAAATCCAGACCAAGGTTTCGTTTCAACCAACCAGTTGAATATAAAGAGTCACACTGACAGAGTACTCAACTGGCTGTTTGAAACAAAATCTTGGTCTGGATTTGTACTTTCTGAACCCGAACCTTCCACCTACGGCAGTTACTCCCTCACAGTACACTTCAGGTGTCCCTGAGCAAGGGGGGTGGGGGGGTAAACGGTGGCGGTACCAGGCAGGGAGTGTGAAGGATTTATTTATTAAGACGAAGAAAACAGCCAGGACCTCAGGGATGGCTAAGTACCTCCCCGGGGTTGGGTGAATACTATGAATGTAAAAAGGATTTCTGTCGCCTTTCGTCGTCATATTTCTTCTCCAGGCCCCAAGGACCAAACACAAAATAGCTGAATACATACAATGACAGATCATACATGGTGGTAACATCACTAGTTCTTGACATCCCATCCTTTACAGTCTCTACCCCAGCATCAGATGCCCTTTCTAATCTGCTTGGGCCTGTCACTGTGTTGTCTCGCAATATAAGATCTGTAGCACTCTCACCCTGATTGCCTGTTGATCAACAAAACAATCTGCGACGAGATATAAGACTGAAATACTGCACAATAATGATAGTGGAAATACAAAGCACTCTGCAGGCATTTGAATCTCTTTACAGACTCCTAGACACTATGTAAGCCTTGTAGGATTTTTAAGATCTTTCTATAATGGGATGATGTCTGGCCAAAGTAGTCACTTACTGACTACTCTGACGGTTCTGCAGAGAACTTGTTGGCAGACTTGGCCATTTGGTGACCCCTCAGAGACCCCTCAGAGAATGTCTAACCCCAGTGCAGGATTAAACCAGGCCCAAAAAGGACACCACAGTGCACTTGACATGGACCAACTATCATTTATCCAACATCAGCTGATTTAACTTTATCTGCACTCTTTGGCAGTGTCTTTCACCTCGACCCTCAGGGACCTCCAGACGTTCTGTGTTTTCACTCCCTCCCAGCTCCCAGCCAGATAGTCCTCATTTTTGCTATTGGGAGCTGGTATGGAGCAGAAACATGGACTGTCTGGGGATGTTTTTGGTGGGATAGTAACAAAGTCATGCTCTCATTAGGTCAGTATATTGGTTTGGTGGCTACAGCAAGACTGCACCATTTTGGTCAGTATCTTGTTATTGTAACACAGTCGGCATAACAATGGCTGTGTCAGCGTTTTGGTTTGGTTCTGATAGCGTGTTTGCGATTTGGCTAGCCCAAAACAGGCCTCATATCCCACACATTAACGGGTGGCACAGACTGGAAGCTCGCTCATGCCAGTCTTGCTGTGAGGAACACTACGCAAAATGAAGTTTAAAGTATGACCCCCCCCCCCCNCTCGCTCATGCCAGTCTTGCTGTGAGGAACACTACGCAAAATGAAGTTTAAAGTATGACCCCCCCCCCCACCACCAGCCGCCCCACCCCCTCGGCGACCTGGATTCTGCTAAACTAGCAGCTCCTTTCAATGTGTGACAGAAAATGAGGTTTCCATCTCTTGCTTCTCTTTATTCCCCGGTGGACAGAACAACCTTGACAAGAGGTGGATCATCATAGCTGCAGGACTCCAGAGGATGATCAAGTCCTTGGAGCACTGGAACATAAGGGAGGCGTGGTCACCTGTTCAGGTGAGGCATGGGATGTCATGTGACCCATCCCTGCACCTTGATCTGCCTGCTCACTAATGACATGCTTTTCACTTAGCCTATGGTTTGGGTGAATGTGTCTGATTGTGTGTGTTTGTGTAAGTGCGTGTGATTCTCTGTGGGCTTTTGCTCGTTTGTGGGTGTGTGACCCCAGTTGTGTGTCTCTCTTTTTGTCACCAACTTACAGCATATTTGTGTTGCCAAATATACCTTCACTTTTAGAAACAACCCCAGCATTGGAGAGTAACGATGGCCTGCCGCCAACATGGCCAGGTTAAGGACTTCTCTGAATAGGACTACTCACTCACTACTCACTCACTGTGTTTCTGTGACTTACTTCGCTGTCAATAAGCAAAACAAAAGCAGGAAAGCATAATGCCAGGAGAGGCCATCGATCGGCCACCAAATCTCTGCGGGAAATGAAGATAGGAACTAAAGAACTAGGTTTGCAGATGAAAATCCTGAAAGCAGGACTTTCATTTGTCGGGATGTTTGTCATGTTTATCTGCTCCGTGTAGCTGCTAGGGATTTTCAGCTGCTCCTCGCTGATTTGCAGTTTGTTATCAAGGCTGACAGCAACTCTCTCACATGCATTTTCATGCACAAAACATTGGAAATGCTGTGTGATTCAAAGTGACTGATGTTTTTTTTCAGCTGCAACATAATTCCAATAGTATTTTCCCAAATTTTCTGTGCTCACGCTAATAGTTATTCATTTACTCCTTTTTCTCTGCTGACTCCAGTGTAATTATAAGTCGTAGTTACTCTCCACACTTCTTCTCTTGTATTTTTGAGCACTCTGTGCTGCTTATTTAATCCAATAACCAGCGTCACATGCTGATTAGATTTGCATGTACTCACAATACTGTGTCCTTTGTACTTATAAATACATATTTATAAATACTCTTTTCCAGTGCACCAATATCCGGCTTGGTTAAGTAAACAAAAGTACCCCTGGGGGAGGTTGAACAACACCAAATGCACCATGCAAAACCATACCGCACCCCCACGAAATATATAAGGGTCCACCCCAAACAGCTTTAGTGATGATTTAGACGATTAACACATTGCTTTAGCCCTGTAATACAGTGAACTGTTGTCTAAGACTTTTGTGTCTCACTGTCGACAATGTCACTACCATTATTCATTTTTACAGTATGCCAATTGCATATAGCAAGTTGATGGATGATATGGCGTGGACATAATTATTCACTATGTACAGCAACTTTCAGTGCTATGCTATTGATTTTGTACACTCCTACAATGGACCCATCAGACATTAAGTTAATTTAATTGACATTTTTCATGAGTTTTTTTTTTTTGTAATATTTTATAACAACTCTCTTGGGGTTTTGATCTGCAGCCATGAAACAGGCTGTAAATCCAGCCACCATAGAGCCATCAGTCACACCCGGGTGTTTAGCAGATGAGGAGACTCACCGGGCCGTTTCTGGGTGCGCCCCCTGTGGCCGCTGCACAGCCGCACCTTGGAGATGAGCACCAGGATCTGCTTCTGGCACAGCGACTTGTTGCTCTTGGGGCAGGGCCGGCGTTTGCTGCTGACGGGCCGGTTCGCTTGCTCATCCTTCACCGCGCGCTTCTGTCGGATCAGGGAGCTAGCGAGCGCCGCCATCTTCCCCTTACCGGCGGGGGCCTCCCCCCGGAGACTCGGCTACCCTCCTTGGCCCGGCCCCCCAGAGGAGCGGAGAGGGAGAGCCGAGAGGAGAGCCGCCCCTCCGTGAGACGGGCAGCGCCGGGGGTCCGGAGAAGTTTGCGAGGGAAACTGAGCAAAAGCTCCAAAGCCAACAGGTTACATAGTCAGAGAAAAGTGAGGAGAGAAAGAGGAGCGAGGCATGTGGGCCCCCGCTGCTCCCCCGCTGCTCCCCAGGTACGTCGCTACTCCAACAAGTTTGGTCCGATGCTGGAGAAACGGCCCAGGATGCAGCTCCTCAGATGAAGCAGGTCCCTCTTTTCATCTCCAAACCCCACTGCCGCTTAAAGGAGTAACTGCCCAGGGTGACAAGACGCCAGCGGCGGACGGACACGGCGCCTTGCCCCCGATCTCCAACTTCCCTCGTAAAAGGAAGAAGAAAAAGGAACAAGAAGAAAAAAAGGAGAGAGAGAAGGCAGGATGGCTGGATTGGGTGCTTGTGGAAAGTCCCAGCGGTGGCCAGAGACAGAAGGTGACATTCAGACTCCCTGGAGGGGAGGGGGTGGCTGTCTACCCTGATTCAGTCCTCAGTGCCTCGGAGTGGGGGCTTCAAGGAACAGGGGCTCCAGCTCCACAGGGCAGCGCGGCATCCCAGCCTTTATGTGCTTGTCCTTCAGACGCGGGGCAGCAGAGTGAGAGAGAGAGGGAGAGAGAGAGAGAGAGAGAGAGAGGGGGGGGGGGGGGGGAGAGACAGAGGGGATGAATGGACGGTGGAGTGCAGCAGGTCACGGGCTGTAAGCTCACACACACGCAAACGCACACTGCTACGGCGCGCCAGCAGTCCCCTTCAGCAGAAGCAGAGTGCAGTCCGCATGCGTGTGCGCGCGTGTGTGCGCGTGTGTGCGCGTGTGTGCGCGCGTGTGTTTGAGCGAGCGCGTGGCTCCATCATCATCCATGCAGCCGCCGATAACGAATCGCAGAGTCCACACCGGCAGCATGCTCTCTCTCTCTCTCTCCTTCTCCATCCCTCTCTCACTGCCTGTAAGTCCCCCCCTTCTTTCTCTCTCTCCCTCTCTGTCACACTCTGTGTCACTCAAAATCCATTCCCCTCTCTCCCTCCTACTCCAAATCCATCCTTCCCCCTCTCTTCCATCAGTCCCACCCCTCATTTTTCTCCCTCATCTTGCTGTTTATGTGCCCATAGCCTCAGGATGCTCTCAGCTATCAGTACCTCCGAAAACCTGGCAAAAATGCACAAACAATCTGTCACAAATGCTCTCCTGTTCAGACACAAACACACCCACACACACCTGTACATTTCTGTCAGCATGGGACTTCCAACTAAATCTCGTGTTTATATATATGTTTGTGTGTGTGTGTGTACGTGTATGTGTGCGCGTGCGTGTGTGTGTGTGCGAGCAGGTATACCTATCCTTATGGGGACACAATGTCCCCATAACGTGATAAATATCCGTTTTTTTCCAGGACCAGTCCCCATAAGGGAAAACTCTATTTTATATTAATCGTTGACTGCTATAAAAACTAAAAATGCAAAAACTCTTGTATTTTGTTTGGTTACTTATGGTTATGGTTAGGGCAGGGTGGGGGTTAAGGTTGTCATAGTTAGCGTTAGCATTTTTCCCATTGAAATAAATGAGCAGTCCCCATAAGGGTATGTTTACCCTACATGTGTGTGTGTGTGTGTGTGTGCATGTGTGTGTGTGTGTATAAGTCAATTTTTAAAAAATAAAACCCTCAAAAACAGATGACAACTGGCACTTCCAGTTAAGAAAGCCGTTTTGTGAGGGCGTCTGAATTTCTCATGTGTCCTCACAAAACTGGGGAAGGATAAATCAACAAACACACCCACATATTAACACAGATGTAAATAGACGTTAATATCCATCACTCATAACATTTCACCTGCAGGATATTGGAGAACTCTTTGCGCTTTTGTGGTAAAAGATTCCTTTTCCTTTGGGGGAATTACAGCACATCCCACCTCTTTTACTCAGTTAGTTACCAGGTTAAAAGCCCATGTCCAACAGCCCCTGCTGCCTTATCTGCAGGTTACCTCTTTTTGCGTATCTAGTTCACTTTCAGACTTCCAGGGTGTGGTGTTGTCATGTTGTGTGCTTTGTTGAGTTCACATGTTAGAAAGGTCAGAAAGGTTAGAGCTGTCAATCATTTCAACTCCAAGGGTAACATGAATTGAATTTAAATCAGCTTCTAATTTCACAGCGAAACAGTCAATGAAACTTTATTTGGTGTGGAATTGCTCACATAAGGAACAAGCGATGTCCTACCACCATTACCTCCCCAAGGTCATGACCCTTTGACCACTCACTGACAGGCACCAGGAATGTGACTGTTAACGTGGTAACAGAGAGAAATGTCCACTTCATCCTCCTTCGCTTGCTTCGTCTCTCTTCCTCTCCCAATGACGTGGGAACAGATTTCAGTCATTTTTTCCAGTTGTTTTCTGAACAGAATTTTCCACTCTCCCTTTCTTTGTCTTCCTCATACCCCTGATTTCTTCCACAGTTCTAAATTCATTACCATGTTTACAGTAAAGCCATGCAGATAAAGAGTGAATGCTGCAGGTCCGGAGAGAGAGAAGGAGAGCGAGAGAGAAGCAGGGAGGTGGCTGTCGGTCGAGCCTCAGAGAGCTGAATGGGTACACGACAGAGCAGTGTCAGATTCTCTGCCTGTCCATCTTTCTGTGTTTTTCTCTGCTTTATCAGCCTGTGTGTCTGTTAAACTATTTGGTGTCACCATGAGACCACAAAGTAATAAGTGTATATTAATAACTGTTCAACCTTCCTGTCTACTTCTACTAATACCCTATCTGTCTTATTCTATCACCTTTCATCCTCTCTGTTTTCCTCTTTCGCTCTCTATCATATTGCAGAGACGACAGGAAGTTGTGTAATCCCCTCTCTGTTACATAACCTTCAGAAATTATATGTTTAATTTCCATGACCTCTGGCTCCTTTGCTCATTAGTCTGGAGCTGTAGTGACAACAGTCTGATATAACCAAAGTCAGGAGTCCTAGCTAACATCTCTGTGTGAGTGACAGTGTTTGCCTGTGTCCAATAAGTAGATTTAAGTGCGTTCATGTCTTAGTATTGGGTGAACAGATCGCTTGTTTTAAAACGTAACCCAGTTTCTGACTATAAAAATCAACCTCTGCAGATTATGTGCTGGAAGGATTTAATGAAAGAGAAATATTAAAAATTAACGTGGCACTTAATCTGTTTGGTTATCGGCGGGGTCACCTACCACGACAAGAACTGCATCCGACTATTTGTTCAGCCCGTTGGCTCCCAATCATCCATCCATCCATCCATCTGTTTACTGTGCCCACTTCTCCCATTCAGGGTCATGGGGGTTCGGAGCCTAATGACCAAAAATGAGCCACCAACCCATCGCAGGGCACACACACATTCTCACCTAGGGGCAATTTAACAACTCCAGTTAATGTCAGCATGTCTTTGGACCATGGGGGGAAAGCGCAGCATCCGGAGGAAACCCCACGACGACACAGGGAGAACATGCAAATCCACGCACATGGAGCCATGGCAGAGACTCGACCCACAACAGTGCTGACCACTGCACCACCGTGCTGCCCCAATCAGAGTGAAAATAAGCAGGGGTGACTGATGGCACTGGTGGAATGCGGGGGGGGGGGGGTTGCCAGGTAAGCTCAGTTGCATAGCCAACAAGAACTCAAGAGACATTTCACTACAGATGGCATGGATCCATGGTCCATTTGTAACCATCAGCATGTGATAACTGGCTGTTTCGCGGTGTAATGAGATGCAGTAAGCTGCAAAAACTGATAGAGAATCGTGACATGAATTACACCCCTTCAGTGTCAAAATCACCCAAAGGCCACTCCTTAAGATGTGACCAGTGGTTCAACCGTGGGTGGGGCTATGTCGGCATGGCAACAGGAGAATACCTTAAGGTCAGCATTCTGAGAGCTGAGAGTGGATGCAACCAGACACTTCTGTAAAATATTGCGTCAGGACTTTTTCTTGTTAAGTCTGTTTTTCTCGTTAAGTCTGTTTGTAGAGTAAGTATTGTTTAATAATGAACAAATATGTATTATTTATAACAGCAGAGTGTATGTCGTCTAAATATAAGGTCAATGGATTGTAAACATTGTTATTAATATTATATAACTGTTTTTGTTGTTTAAATGTAGGGTCAGAATTTTGTAAACATGTTTGTTTATATTACATAAGAGAGTGTGAGCGTTGTTTATATGTTGGGTCAGAGTATTGTAAACATGGCTATGTTACTTTATATAACAGTCTAGTGTAAGTGCTGTTTACCTGTGCAGTCAGATTATTATAAACACATCTGTGTAGGTTATATAACAGCAGAACATGAGCATGTGTTGGGTGGAATGTGTGTGTTTGGGTTAAACGTTGAAACTGCCTGGGACAATCCCAAGTGAAACCTGGATGAATTCCAGTGCCTGGATGCAGGGATTGGCTGTCCTGAGCTTCCTTAGAGCAGTACCAAAGGATTGTGGGATTGACATGCTGAATGTCAAGCTTCAAACACCTTGAGAATAATTTTTGTCTTGCAATCTCAATTCAATTCTGTGGAAATTAGGGCTATGTTGTTAAACCAGGGGTGGAATGTCATTCACCTAAATGTATTACGAGTTCCCTCTCTGTATGTAATGCTGAGCCTGTCTAGCATCTCATCCCGTTAGCCTACTCCAGTAAAGGAACCAGTATGACTCATGGAGAGGTAGTGAATGGCTCCGTCAGGATAACACGCAGGAAAAGTGCTTGGTACGGCTCAGTTTATCAGACATTCATCAGATGGCCTTGGAAGGGCCATAAAGGTATCTGACGCTGATCGGTCTAACCAGCTTGGTTCACTAGGAGTGAACAGGAATTCAAGCTATGGTGTTTTATCCCTATACTCTCTCTGGGTCTCGCCTTCATACAAATGAAAGTGTGGAATTGCTCATAGTGTGTGAGCATTTTATCCAGTTAAATATGTACCTGATTAAACATTATATTCTTACCCTGCTGGAAAAAACAGCTAAAAACCAGTTTATACTGGTAACTGGTTTTAGATGGTTTAAGATGATCTGAGACGGTCATGTCCCATTTCTTGCTGCTGTTTCATGGTTAAGCTGGGTGGGACATCAGTTGGTCATGCTGGTGTGGCCAGCTTATCAAGCTGGTCGTGCTGGTTTGATCAGTTAAACTCATCGTAAGCTGGTATGACTAGCTAAGCCATAAAAACACCTTACAAAAATATACCTTAAGCTGGTCAACTATTATACTGTAGGTTGGTCAACTAGCTTAAGCTGGCCAAGTTTTATTTTTCAGCAGATATTTTCAGTTTTCATGGACTGTGTTCAAAACTCATGAGATCAGGGAAGCATCCTGTACTGACTAGTGCACACTTTTAATGCTTCCTGATCTCAGCTTTTTCTATTACCTTCAAGAGGTGCAGATTTCAGGTCCAGAGAGTACAAATCCAGACCAAGATTTTGATTCAACTAGCCAGTTGAGTGCTCTCTGACTGTGACTCTTTATACTCAACTGGTTGGTTGTAACAAAATCTTGGTCTGTATTTGTAGTTTCTGGCCCTGAAATCTCCACCTCTGATTATCGTGTCCTTCCCTGTCTACCTGT